TCTGCTTTGTTCATCAGCCATTTGGGAACATGAAGAGGACATTCATACGTTGTTTGTGAACTCAACACTACAGGAAAATGGTCACTTCCATATAGATTATTTATGATTTTCCATTTCAGTAGGGGTAGGAGTGAAGGCGATACGATGCTGAGGTCTATAGACGAGTAAGTTTTGTTGGCAACGTTATAGTATGTTGGCTCTTTCCTATTCAACAAACAGGCACCGGAAGAGAAGAGAAATTGTTCAATGAGACGACCTCGTGCATCACAGCGAGAATCGCCCCAGAGTCCACTATGTGCATTTAGGTCGCCAAGAAGCAAATAGGGTTCAGGCAGTTCGTCTATTAAAGACTGAAATTCACGTCTTTCAAGACGTTGGTGGGGAGGTACATACAAAGAGCAGATGGTGACGAGTTTGTTTAAAAGTACCGCTCGAACAGCCACCGCCTCAAGGGATGTCTGGAGTGATAAATGTGTACACGCTACTCCTTGGTTAATAATAATGGCTACGCCACCGGATGACGCCACAGCATCATCTCGGTCCTTTCGGTATATGACGTAAGCACGTAAAAAATTTGTATTGGAGGATTTCAGATGTGTTTCCTGTACACACAGCACTTGAGGTGAGTGTTTGTATAAAAGCTCTTGGACGTCGTCGAGGTTTTTAAGCAGGCCTCTGACGTTCCAATGTATAATTTGTGTTTCCATATTGGAAGTAAAGTAGTGCTGTGTGTACGTTAAGGGAGTGACTTGTCTAAGCTGAAAGGTCAAGCTCAAGTAACAGGGCTATTATCAGGCCCTGTTATTAGCTTTTTGGTTTTCTTGGCGCACTCCAGAGAGCCGCGCCGCTCTTTTGGCACCAGAGGTGCCGCCGTATCCATTGCCTCCTCGGAGGCACTGGATGCCCGCTCATACGAGCTGGTTTTTCGAAGCTTGGGCCTCGCCTGGCGAGGTGAGGCCTTGAGACCCGAGGACCCTGGAGTCCCTGGTCTCTGTTCAATAGTAGGCGGAGTAGACTCAACTACTGCCGCCTTGGGGGCAGGCGCCACAGCCAATGGCTCGCTCTGCGCAGGCCGAAGGAGTGGCGAGGGCTGGTGCGACACTGCCCCCTGGCGCGCCGCATCAGCATATGTAGGGCCATAAAATGGCGAGACTCTTTTTCTTGCTTCTTTAAATGTAATGTTTTCTTTTATCTTTAAAGTGATGATTTCTTTTTCTTTTTTCCAGAAAGAACAAGAACGTGAGTACGCGGCATGATTACCGCCACAGTTTACACAGTGTGCAGGTGCTTCGCAGTTGTCGGACGCATGGCCCACGACTCCACACATAGCACAAGTTTTCTGGCCACGACAGCTTTGCGAGCCGTGGCCATATCTCTGACAATGGAAGCAACGGCGGGGGTTGGGAATATATGGCCTCACAGATGTCTTTGTGTACCCAGTCTGAATTGTTTCCGGCAAATCGCTTGAAGCAAAGGTCAGTACTAAGTGTTTTGTTGGTATTTCCTTTTGATCTCTTCTTATCTTAATACGCTGTACGTTCGTCACGTTCTCGCTCTTCCACCCTTCAAGAAGTTCAGCTTCGGTCAGGTCAAGCAAATCTGCGTCCGAAACGACCCCGCGAGATGAGTTCATAGACCTGTGTGGCGTAATACTGATGGGTGTGTCTCCAAACGTTGTGAGGGTGTTCAGTTTATCGAATTGGTCTTTGTCACGTATTTCAAGGAGTAGATCTCCACTGGCCATTTTGGTAACCTTGTACCCGGCACCGAGAGCTTCGGTTAAGGACCTAGCCACTACGAAGGGGGATACTGTTCTGGCTTGCTTGTTAGTTTTTTCACAGTGTATAACGTGGAAATGAGGAAAGGTTTGTCTTGGCCGGAGGAAAAAATTGATATCTTCGGTGCGTACCCGCTTTGAGGAGGCACGATCACTAAGTAAAGGAAATGCTTTGTGCATGCTAATTGTATGTTGTTCAGTAGCGTTGGCGGCCACCCACCACGGAGCCCAACGAGGGGACGCTGCAAGTTTACGGATGCTGAAACCTGCAGACGCCAGCCGTACAACGCTACTATAACCCAATGCGCCTAGACCAAGGTAGGCTATTTGCACAGGGTTAACCCTAGCCGCCAGGAAGTTTGGAAGTAAACGGAAGAGAGTAGAAGACAGGACAGATAAATAGTAAGAGATAAAGACGAAGATGTAGAGAGAGAGGGATAGGAAAAGGCGACTGCCGATTTCCCCTGGGTGGGTCAGCCCAGGGGTGCCGTCTACGTGAAGCCGGGGCCAAAGGGGTGTGTTGCCTCTGCCGGGGGGCCTTAAAGGTCCAATCACCCAGCGTCGGCTCAACCCCCAGGATTCCCTTTTCCCCGGACACGGCAAAGCCACGCACGGCTAGGCGTGGGATGGAGTAGAAACTCCCCCGTTAGCTCGGGTCCGTGGTGTCGCTACACACCAAACGCCTGCTTTATCAGGCGCCCCTGCGGGGAAGCCCTCAGCACTCTCACTGCCCAACTGGTGAAGAGTCATGGTGCAAGTCAATGCAAGTACGTCAATGTCAATTAAACTAATCATGAAAATTTTCACGAGCAATTAATGATATATCTATCTCAATAGCATTGTATAACCTCCTTGAATTCTGTTTTTGTTTTTTGTGCTTTTTTGCCGCTGGGAAATTCTTGTTGTTGCTTGAAGCCCCTCTTTGTCATTTGTGCAACCACTGTTATTAGTTCCAATCTTATTACTTGCTTTGTATTTTTATTAATTATTAGTTATTAGTTGCTCTGTAGTTGCTTTGCTTTGTAGTTGCTTTGTATTGTGACAGAAGTATCACCCACTAGCATTCTTTCCTATGTACCCCCCTTACTCTATGCTCCGTAATAGAGCCTGTAAGGTATTTTTAAATAAATAAATAAATAAACAAGGCTGTTGCCAAGCAGGAGACTCCTCCGAATCATCGCTACAACCTGCCGGAGTATGTGGTTGATGCCTTGCGGCCTATATACACGCGCCTCTCTGACAAGAAATTGCTGGAGCGTTGTCAGCGAGGCAAAACACAGAACCCAAACGAGAGCCTGCACTCCGTCATCTGGTCGCTCCTGTCCAAAAACAAACACACGTCACTTTTCACTGTTGAAGCTGCTGTGGCCGAAGCTGTCGCAAGGTTCAACGCTGGCAAAGGGAGAGCAGATGCCGCCATATTGAAGGAGCTGCACCTGCAGCAGAGTGTTGTGGTTGCTGAAAGATGCTCAGAAAAGGACAGTCGCCGACTAGTGGCATCGGAGAAGAAGCATGAGCATGCTGAAAACTTCAAGCATGCCATGAAAAGAAAGCGCACCAAGGAGAATGATGATGACTACATTCCTGGTGGCTTCTAACATGGTTAATACACCGATTCACACCTTTTCTTGTTAAATATAAGTGCTCAGCATGTTCCTAAACTTCTTTTCTCGTTTTCTCAAAACAACATTTTTCATCACACCCTAAGCCATTGCCCACAGTATCTTTTGATGTAGCAGTCGAATTTTGATAATTCTTGCAGCATTTGAAAGCTTATATGTTGATTAGTGCAAGAAAACAAAAAAATGTAATATTTTTATTTACAATAGTGATTCAATTAGCAACAAACTTAAGCAACAGTTTCAGATTTCTAATGAGTATACTTGTTAAGGCCATAACTCTGGTACCAATGAAGCTAAAAAGAAAATTATGGTTTTGTTGCATTCCCTGGCCTTCATGGAATGCTGTCATATCAAATTTGTAGCAATATTTAATGAGGAAGATGTCAAAAGGCTGGGCAGAATGCAAGTTTATGTAACACTCAATATTTAAAAATCTAAAAGTGATAGCAAAAAACTAATTGCATATTTGTTTTCAGCTGTGAAAAATACATATTGTATTAACATTTCAGCTGGAAATACTGAAAATTAAAAAAAAAAATTCAGACCAGTGTCTCCCCTTAAACTGCCAGCATACCGTCAGGGTCACGTGCAGCATCTGCGATGCCGACCACCCCCCACCAAACCTCTAGTAAACCGAAATTTGTAGTAGGATATCTTTTGGTACTGCAACAGCACCACGCAAATCTATGTAAAGTAAGTTTTTGACAAGCTGGCTGAAAAAAAGAAAAAAGTAAAAGTTCATTCTTCACATTAAAGCTCACTTTCCGCCTGCCCAAACACAGCAATGTTTGCAGTTCCTTTCATGTTTAAAAAATTGGTTGTCAACATTGTACACCAACTATGCTGTTTTCTTAATATGTTAGTCATTTTTTTTTCTAAGCATAGCACTTTTTCTTCTAGGTATTCCCAAACTGAAATACTTCAAGGACACTTTCATAGAGCTTAAAAGTCAAATACCAGCTTGTCCTTCAGTTATTCCAAATACTTCCACAACTCTAACATTAAAACTGCAATTCAGATAGCATTTTTGCAAATTATTTAAGCCATGCACATAGCTTTTATGCACCTACATCTAGCTGTGCTGGCCATCCTGTGAACGAAAGGCATGCATTTCAAGCACACGTGTTTAGAGGCAGCTGCTTTTGACAGAACAGCTACGTATCAGAAACTTGGACTCTGTTGTGCAAAACTCTACGGGCAGGTATGCACCGCAAAAACTGGGCAATCCCCATTACCAAGTACAACAGAAGCAAGCGTTAAACGAAAACTCTGTTCGGTTAAGTGAAGCACATGAAAAAGAGAGAAAGAAAGTTATAGAAAAAAAAAAAAAGAGGAAAACAGAGAGACACAAAGGAAATAAATACCTAAAAAGATTGAAATACACAGAAAGAAATAGAAAAACAGAGGGCAAGGCACAAAGAGAAACAGAGTGAGAAAGAAAGAAATATAAACAAATAAAAAAAGATGCAAACAAAACAAAGAGGAATAGAAGAGAGGAAAAAAATAAAGGGAGACAAGGAAGGCGAGGCAGCTGTTGCTTCCGCACGAAGCAGCCATAATTTTTTAAACTACAACACAAGCAAGAGCACCAGTCTGCTTACATTGCTCGGCCGAAGGAGAGGCCACCTGCGTACTGTCACCACATGCAGAGGTGTCCAGGTATGAGCTGTTAGCGTTCCCCGACTTCTCGAGAATGGACATGTTGCTATCGTACATTGAAAATCCAGTACTGCCTGCAACAGACACGAGGGAACAAAGATGTAACTGCGGCAAGAACACTAAACATACGACAATTGGATGGAAGACTGGCTGGTATGCATTACGTGAGGAAACAGCTTTCAGCGTTAGAGATTATTTATTAGCACTGGCTGTGAGTCTGCATTGTCAATAGACCAAGAATTGTACATGCCACCATTGATAATATTATCAGGGGTTTTACGACATGGCAAAACCCCAATAGGATTATGAACCACACTCCAGAAATTTTGAAGATCTTGCATTTCTTGATGTGCAGCGACATTGCACAGCACACGGGCCACTAGCATTTTTCAAAATGTGACCGCCGTGGCCAGGATTAAACCTGCGGCCTTTTGGGTAAACAGCCAAGCACTGCAACCAGTACACTGATGCAGCATACACCGGTGATGACTTACCGTGTGCTCATAACATACAACTCCTGTTAAACGTTGTTATAATGAAGAGGTAAGCTACATGATGTAATTTTTCGTTACCCCAGCACTCATTACAAGTGTCCATGCCAATATCAGTGAGGAAACATATTTCAGTTGGGTTTAGTAAAAGGATAACTGACCAGCACTTTGATTGGTTGGTTTGTTTATCGAGTTTAAAGTCTCAAACCAACTCTGGTCACGCTATGAGAGACTCAGCTTGCGGACAGATGTCCCCCGTCGAATGTAACAGCCTTTCAGTGCCTTGCTATATGAGCACACCACGTGAAAAACACAAAATTGCACACAAACACGCTTCTTGTCATTACTAAAATGTAAATACACAGTTGCCATGATACGTCGTCAGTTGTGGACCATACAAACCAAGCCATTAGTTAAATTGAGGACATGCCCCGAATATGCCGTTTGAAGTTACTCGTCCAAAGTAAGGGCTTTGTTGACAAGCTCTTATTCACTACATTTTTCATGCTCGTACATTTTGAAAGAAGTGTTGTGATTTGATTTTCATGAGGTCCGAAGTTTACATCTCACTTGACATGCTTCTTTTCCCAATAACTGGATCGATGAGCGACAACAGAGCCCCCATGAAACAGCCCCACACATCAGTGATGCACCACTACTGTTGCCGATAACAGTCGTTCTTCATAGCCTACAGTGGCCCCACAATTCCTTTTTCCCAGATGGCACAGCTGCATACAAGGTGCACGACCTTCGGGTAAGAGTTTTCCCCAGAACTGCATTTCCCATTCTGAGACATCATGCATGTGCATGATGCCAAAAATTGAGTGGGATGTGTTATGGTGTCCCTCATTTCGGCCTCCACTAGGCATTGGTTCAATGGAAATATTGTAAGTCAGTTTTTTTTTTTTTACTGAACAACCACATTTTGGAGTTAGTAGCAGAGGGGCAGGAAGTAGCTACAAGTGTAGCTACAAGTGAAGTAGCTACAAGCTACTTGAACTGGTACAGCGCATTACGGGGAAGAAGAAACGGCCGAGCAGACCGACACAAGAGGACAGAGCGCTAACTTCCAAATGAGCTTTATTGTCAAACTGCATCAAATATGTAGATCGGCACAAGCATACAAAACCACCCTAACGCAACGACAAGATTACACACAACATCTCACCGTCACATATCACAGATTCATAGGCGGTTATCCTGATTAAGAAAGGCCACTTCTTGTTCAGATAAAACCAAAGAAGGGGCGCTAATACACGTGATGCCAGCTCTTGCTATACAATGCGCTTCTATAATTTCCCGAGTTAATTGTGACGGGTGCTTTTTAACCAATTCACATTGATCATACATGGGAGAACATCCACAATCGTGGCAGTGAATTCCAATGTGGGCCTGGATTGCTTTGTGAACATTATAATGGTGCTCTTTTAGCCTTTCATTAAAGCAGCGCCCCGTTTGCCCGAAATACCACTTACCACATGAGAGTGGAATAGCGTAAACAACACCCGCTACACACGGCACAAACCGAGTTTTGTGCTTGGTTGAGCAACCAGTGGTGCGTGAATTGAGAGGATTGAATACTTTGCAAAGCCGCTGTAACTTATCCGGCGCTGAAAACACCACTTTGACGCTGCATTTCTCCCCTATCTTTTTTAGCCGGTGGGAAATGTCATGCACGTAAAGTAAAACTACAGGTCTTTTTCGATCGTTTGATTCCGGCTGAACCTCGGAGTTGCAGCCTTTCTTTATCTGTTTTAATAGCTTTTCAGCTATAGATGCCAGTAGGATAGCTGGGTACCCAGCACTCAAAAGCCTTTCAGCTTGAGCTGCAAAGCTGCATGACATGATGACATGATTTCCTAAGAGGATTGATGAGACAAAGATTTGTGATGCTTCGCTTAACTAACTTGGAATGGGAAGAGTCATAGGGTAAAAGAGGTTTTCCAGTTCTAGGTTCAAATAGCCAGCACACATGGTCAGGTGAAAGCATTAAATTCAAATCTAAAAAGCGTAAGCTGTTGTCAACTGGCATCTCATGAGTCAATAAAAGCTGTTTAAAACATTCTTTAAAAGTCATTACAATACCGTCGGTTAGGTGCTGGCAGGCAGCGTCGCTGCAGTCGATGAAAATTAAAAAGTCGTCTACGTAACGACATATTTTGGTGACAATATTTAGGTCAAGCATGCTCATCAGCAAACGGTCATGATATGCAAGGTATATGTCACTAAGGATCGGGGCGAGGCATGACCCGATGCAGACACCACTATTCTGTATGTATTTACGATCATTAAAAGATACAAAAGTCGACTTGATATAAAAAGACAGAAGCTTTAAGAGGTCACTGTTATGGACACCCGTGAGACTCTGGAAGGCTACAGCACCAAATGAGTCAATGGCATTGTCAACACACTATAACAACTTCTCATGCGGCAAAGAGTAATACAAATCCTTTATATCAACGGAAAGTGCTTTTAAGCCCCTGTCGTTATGTTCCAGAAAGTTAACCAAACTGTCCGAATTCCTAATTAAAAAGGGGTCATCGATAGTGAGCAAATTGAGCTTTTCTTGCAGAAATAATCCAACAGTTTTTCGCCATGTTCCTCTCTCTGTCACAATTACCCGCAGAGGGCAATCGACCTTGTGTGTTTTGGCCGTAAAAAACATATCAAGGCTGAGCTTCTTGCACTTATCCACTGCTTTGGCAAGTTTTTCGAAACCCAAGGTGGCACACAGCTTTTTTGCTTGGGATTTAACTTTGCTAAGGGAAGTGTCATCCTCAGCTCTAAAGACAGAATGAACAGCTGTGGTCGCTTTCTCAATAAATAAAGAGTTCGGTAAAACGACTAAACCTCCCTCTTTGTCAGAAGGTAACAGAGCTAGCGAATTGTCTTTTGAGTGTCCCACGACTTTCTTAAATGGCAGTTTTTTGGTCGAAGGCATGAAACGCGAAACCACATCAACGCCATCTTCCCACTCTTCCCATTCCAAGTTAGTTAAGCGAAGCATCACAAATCTTTGTCTCATCAATCCTCTTAGGAAATCATGTCATCATGTCATGCAGCTTTGCAGCTCAAGCTGAAAGGCTTTTGAGTGCTGGGTACCCAGCTATCCTACTGGCATCTATAGCTGAAAAGCTATTAAAACAGATAAAGAAAGGCTGCAACTCCGAGGTTCAGCCGGAATCAAACGATCGAAAAAGACCTGTAGTTTTACTTTACGTGCATGACATTTCCCACCGGCTAAAAAAGATAGGGGAGAAATGCAGCGTCAAAGTGGTGTTTTCAGCGCCGGATAAGTTACAGCGGCTTTGCAAAGCAGTCAATCCTCTCAATTCCCGCACCACTGGTTGCTCAACCAAGCACAAAAATCGGTTTGTGCCGTGTGTAGCGGGTGTTGTTTACGCGATTCCACTCTCATGTGCTAAGTGGTATTTCGGGCAAACGGGGCGCTGCCTTAATGAAAGGCTAAAAGAGCACCATTATAATGTTCACAAAGCAATCCAGGGCCACATTGGAATTCACTGCCGCGATTGTGGATGTTTCCCCATGTTTGATCAATGTGAAGTGGTTAAAAAGCACCCATCACAATTAACTCGGGAAATTATAGAAGCGCATTGTATAGCAAGAGCTGGCATCACGTGTATTAGCGCCCCTTCTTTGGTTTTATCTGAACAAGAAGTGGCCTTCCTTAGTCAGGATAACCGCCTATGAGTCTGTGATATGTGACGGTGAGAGGTTGTGTGTAATCTTGTCGTTGCGTTAGGGTGGTTTTGTATGCTTGTGCCGATCTACATATTTGATGCAGTTTGACAATAAAGCTCAGTTGGAAGTTAGCGCTCTGTCCTCTTGTGTCGGTCTGCTCGGCCGTTTCTTCTTCCCCGTAATGCGCTATACCAGTTCAAGGAAGTAGCTAGCTCTTTCCGGCATGGTGGTCACCCCAGGTAAACACCTTTTCTTCATTTTTTCCTCTTGAAACACGTTCTTCTTTTTCCTCTTGAATTTATATGGTGCATATTTTAACGCATTTGGCAATCTGACAGAGATGACACTATTTCGTTTGGGCTTCAATGTGTCATGCTACGTTTGCTTTCTTGAGGGTGCCGTCGTCCTCAACTAGCTAGACGGTGGACCCAAGATTGTTTATAGATATATATACTAGTTCGTGCTGCTACTAGTATGATGATACAGTCGGCGTCAGATTTCCCAGATCCTCAAGGGACCACGATAATGTTTGGAAAATCGGGCAGTACGGAAAAACAAATGCACATAAAAATGCACCTTTTTCGGTGATTTTTTCGCTGAAAGATAGTGTCACGGCACGAGTACAAGATTCTAGTTGCAATCTGACGAATGCATTGTTTAGGTGGCTCTGAGAAGATCCGTTTGTTTAGAAAAAAAAATCCGGCGTGGCTGGCGCTACCTCATTGGTGAACACTCTGGCCCAAAAAAGTAGCTCATTTCCTTTTGCATGGCATTCCGCTTGACCGCAATGATGTCTGCCTCAATTTCAGCTAACGTCATGCTGTTGTAGAAAACTGATGCTGGTGTCATCAGTGCTCGCGTCAACTTTGAGCTCATTGGCA